CCACTCCTGTGTTGGGAGAATGTATAAAGATCATTCGGCAAAAGGGAGTTGATTGCGAAAGGAACTTCCTTAGGGCACTCCTAGAGCTATATCAGGACATGCCATTGACCGTGCCAAGCAAGGAGTCGAATGATATGGAAAGCTATCGCAAGTTGGAAGAGGTGAGAAGATACTCCAACAAAGAATTGAGAGTGAGCAGAGAATTGATTGAAGCGGCCAGAGGACAAAAGGAGTTTGCAACACTAGGGAAACTGAAGTCGTTCCAATACGTGTCTGGCATACCGGGGATGGCGTATAATCTCTTCGTGAACGAAGAAGCCAGGGAAGCATACTTCGACTACGAGCAAGTCACAGTGCTCAACTTCTGGGTTGAACGGATTAAGGAAATTGGAATGTTGATGGTGGAACAACCCAAGCTTGGAATTATTTTGGAAGAACGAGTAGTCGAGCCCTCGATTCCCGAGCTAAAAGGGCAAGTGAGTTTTGATTGTGGTTCTTGGGACGGTCCCTTGAAAACCAGTCTAGTAGTGATGTGGGAACTCATGAAACCTTCCTGGTGTCCCCATCCTAACGCAGGCTTAATCTGGGACATGACCGCGGATGTCATGTTAGAACGGGATGATGATGCGAGTTTACATGATCTGGCCATGATACATCACCTGCTGGCCATGAGATTGACGAAGAAGAAGAGCAACCCGTCCACGGAGCTGTCCGAGGAAGGTACATCGAGTAATTGGTTGAAGCAAGGCACATGCTTGGCTCAACACAGTGGGATGGAAGGACATGTTTGTAACCTAGGACACTGCCTGATTACGCTAAGCGAGCAGCATCGACAACTGGCACGATTGTACGGAAGATTGAGCATGTCAGATAAGAGTGCCATGGAGTTGGTCGCAGACTGCCATGGGGTGACGGACGTAAACCTGATCACAGCCTTGGGATTTTGCAGCATGACGAGTTCGATAGAATCGCTCGAGCGCTTGGAGCGTGCCCATGAGCTAGTGACATCCCTCAGCGTGGAAATATTCCCTGGAGCATTACAGACGGAGCAAAAGATTGGAGGCTGGCGAGAAGCCCTGGAGAATGAAATGAATCTGAAGGATAGTGAAGCCTATCACAGACCTACTGGTTCAAAATATATGGTGGGTTCAAGCTCAGCGCCGTATTGTAATAGCAAGTATCCTACGCACATGGTGGTGATGGATGCGAGGACGCAACAAGTGTTGGTTGACCAACTTTTCTCTGTGCCAAAGTGCGTGAGGTTGGCCAGAATGTCAGAGAGGTCATATGACTTGTTGGCAAAGATCTTTCGGGCAGTCCCGAAGAGATCCGAAGGCGAGTTGCAAGACGTTGTGGGTGAAGAGTTCATGAGACTGAACGAAGGCAACGTGAGTGAGTTCCAGAAACAGAAAGCGAGTGGAGCGTTACCCACTGAATTCCCCACCATAGAAGAGAAAGACGATTTACATAGAATCCTGATGGAAGTGGAACCGTTGCTGGGAGCCTCAGGGTATCGGACCCGAAGGAACATAGTGAGAACCCATGGGGAGTATCCTTGCCACTGCTTGGCGCAGACGTTGTGGTACCCTAAACGCGGGAATCTGATCCTAGTCTGGGACGTGGAGGAGTTGTACTCCACGGGGTTGCCCGATCAGAATCAACAAGTATCAATCGTGGTGGTTAGCGCCATGCTAGCAGTGAGATGGTTGGAGGCTAATGCAGACACAAGTGAACAGGAGACGGCCGTGCCGACTCCTGAACAGTTGAGCAACGTTAAAATGAGTCGTGAATTGGATCTTTTCAGAACCACCTGCAAGGTTCTGAGAATACCTAAAGCCATTGAAAGAATATGGTCAAGGCAAAGATTGATGCCTTGGTTCCGTGCAGTGATGACATCTTGGATGTATAAACGCGCGAAGCGTCACATGTCAAGGAATACGGAAGCCTATCAATCTTTCCAGCTAGACATAGGACCAGGAGCCTATAAACGAGCATTCTTGACGCACAGAAACGCGGTCACCACAGCGGTGAAGCGGGTAGCTGGAACGCCTTGTGTTACTGAAGATGAGAAGAAAGAGGTCTTAAGAGCTGACCTAGAACGAAACGTGAGCCTGTGTCTTCACAGCAGCTTTTGCAGGAACCGGGAGCAGAAGGTGAATGTGGACTTGCTACCTTGTTGCAAACCGAGGCTGTTGGGACAGGAGGGTTGGGGCACGGCCCGCAACTCTCTGGACATGTTAGAGAAAGTCCTGGAAGACAGTGACGCTGAACATCAGGATGGAGAAATGATGGAGTGAAGATGACCAAAGAAGAGAAGAGAAGGAGAGAAAAACTTGATTGTATTTGTGTGCTAAAACTTAAACCAATCAACCAAGTTTTGATTATTGAACTTGTTAAACTTTTTGTTTTGATTTAGTTTGGTCAGACCAAACTTTGAAAATTGTTGCAATTGTTAAAATTGTTGAAATTGTTGATTTTAGTTACTACTATCTATGTATGTATATAAGGAGCATAGGTGAGTATATTTACCTATTTATTCCCGACTGAAGTTTTTAACCTGTGTAAGACACAAATTCACTGTGTGGCGACATGGTAAGTTTGAGTAAATTCGCTCGAGAAGGGTGGGTAAATCAATAACTTTCCTAGCCACAGAGTTTCTTAGTTTTAATATTGAAAGGACCGCATAAATGACTAATTATACTTGGTGAGTGAAGTTAAGTTAATTTTAACGGGTGCGTGGCCGTGCCACGTCCCACTTTTTAATCACAAAGAGCGAAAAGAAGTTTTATAACAAGACGACGTAAGTAGTCAGAAAAGAAATTTTATCTAGGACACTCCTCATGGTGCAAATTTTGTGAAAATGTTGAAAGGCAGTGAGATGTAGTACGATGCCATTTGTGAACACGTAGTGAGTTGAAGTGGAGTAGATAAATTTCATTTTCTTATGCAATTTGTAAGATTGGTTACAGAAAAATGGATACCTACTTGACGATAACCCGGTGTTGTGCGATCAATAGGGACATTGATGGAGACTTGTCCGGGGAGTATGTGCCATTCTGCCGGATGACACAGCACAACCTTCCCGCGACAGAAAAAAGAGTGACTAAAGGCCTTATGAACAGAAAAGTGTTGCGACGGAGGGTCAGAATGTTCTAGAATTTTTATTTTTAAAATTTCGATCGGAAGAAGAACATTTCTGAGAAATAGAAAAAAGACGGCCATTTTGAATAGAAAAGACGAAAATCAGAACCACGATATAGATTGTGAAGAACAGTTGTATCAGAGACAGAAAAACACGGAGCCTCTTATCGTGGCAAAAACACACGATAAGGACCTTAGCGACAGATATTTGTGGAGACGGAGGCTTCAGTGGGGGGAAGAGAAATACCACGGAACCCTCCCGGGACACGAAATATAGGAGATAAGAGTGTTATCTCAAGAAAATCACGGGAGCGGAGGCTTGGTCCCCCAGAGACTGTTATATGTGAAGGGACTGTGAAAACTGACTATAACAGCTGCTGTAATGTCCTAGATCTTAATAAACACCGTTATTATTTGATATTTCAGAGCATGAGTAGATAGAAAAGGGAAAGGGTCAATCCATCTCCAATGGATTTAATATAAAACTGTCACACAAAAACATAATAAAATAGGTTGTTCGAGCCGTGTTTTTAATGACAATCACGTAGTCTGAGGATCCGAGACTCAGCTATGTGGTTGTGTTCGCATGCAAACGAAAGCTGATCAAAAGTCGTTTGACTGATGGCCTAAAAATGGTAACTTTTTACTTTGCCCTAAACAGACCAGAAAATCAACTGGCAAGGTCGAGACGGTGAAAAACGAGTAGAATTAAGGTAGCTGACGCCTGCCAGTCGTTGATAGGTACTTTTTCTACGCTCCGTCGCTGTGTGATATTTGGGCGAATGTTACACTCCGTCGATATGTATCTTCCGGGCGAATGTTACATACATGTTTTTATGGCCCTCCTGGGTGTTATTCTTTTTTAACATCATAACCGGCAGAACCGTTAACGAGCACTCCACGCCGAGCGGATGTTCACATTAACACCCTTAATAGGCCTAGTCTGCCGGGGCGGAAGGTTAGTTTGGAACGCGGAAGCCTTCCGGATTACCGTGAATAGCTTTTTAAACTAGTTAAGACCGAAAATTCACGAATCAGGAAGGGTGGGGTGATCGGCCATTCCCTAGTTCCCAGAGAGGTTTGTGACCAAAAACACTTAAAGATATATATAAAACCAAACAAAGAGTAGTATAGTACCCAAGAAAAACAAAAAACATTAAAAATAACCGAAAAAACTAAAAACAGTAAAAAAAAAAAGTAAAAAATCAGTAGAAACGACGACGAGCAACAGCAGTCATATGAACAAGTATTGACGAACCTGCGTGTCTTAGAGTGGCTGAATGAAACGACCTCGGATCCTGAGGAGACCAGCGTCACGATTCAAGACGTAGATCGTGAAAGCATGAAATACATCAAGACCGAACGAGATGATCCTTCCTGGGCTGCCCAGGAAGGACGATTACTCATTCCAGCTTCTAATCTCGACTTGATACCCGGTCGTCTTAGGACTTAGTTTTGTTCTCCGTCGATATGTATCTTCCGGGCGAATGTTACATTACTCCCAGGTATTTGACATAAGTTTTGGTCCAAATTGATGACGTTTTGGTCCAAAGTAACTGCAAATTTCCCCCCCTGGTTTCGCGAATGTTTTCTGCTAAGTATGATAAGTTCCGTTTTTTTTAGTATTCAGTTGTAATGAAAGCCTCGAGAATTAAATGATAATTTTTGACAATTGTTTGGCAACTTCTGTAATGCAAAATCTGCGTTATGAAATGCAACATCTGCGTTATGAAAGGTAGAGCAGTTTATTGGAAAATGAAACTCTTTGGAAAATGAAACTCAATGATCTCAATGAAACTCTTTTATCATTAAAAAATACTTCAGCAATAATATTACTTGACTGAAAAATGTTCTAGAACCTAGAATGCTTCAAAGCGATGTCTTGAAAACCGATGAAGATTGTAACAAAGAATGCGTTAGCAAGAATGGGCTCTCATCGGATTCTGGGTTTCCAGAATCTGATCACAATGAAACTAAGTTTGCACCGGAAGCCGCCGCCTCTGATGACGGCTCTTGGCCCTGTCCACGATGTACTTATCTAAATTATTCCAAGTCAAGCAGATGTTCGATGTGCAACTGTCAATTGGCACCTGAGGATGATAATCTCGGAAACACATTAAGCTCCCACGAGCCGGTACTGATTGATGAGCAGCCCGAAAGGAACGAGCTGGAGAGTAGGAACGACTCACCTCTGCCCTCGTCAAGCGCTGCACTGAATAACTTTCAATCCCTTATAGAAAAAGATACTACTGTGAGTCGAGAACAGCATAATCACAGTGATTCGATTGCATGCAAAAGTTATGATAAAGAAGAGGCGCATAATACAGAACTGATTGAATCGGTTGCTAATTTTGCAGACTCTAAAGGTATCTGCTCTTCGGCCAGTGACGAAAATGAAGCAAACCAAGTTCCACATATCATTTTGAGTTCTAACCAAAAATGGTCCTGCCCTCGATGTACTTTTTACAACTGGCCCAAGAGCAAAGTTTGCGTTGTATGTCGAGCACCGCCAAATTGGACGAGTAAGAAAAGAAATCCTAGCGATGGAAACAACAGCGACTCTTTCTCTAAATCAAGGTCCCCGGAGATAGTTTCAAGCGATGATGGTAGTGGCGGATCTACGATATCACTCAGCGACACTAATTCAAAACAGGCTAAGAAAGGTTTGAAACAGAAATGGCACTGCATTTGTTGCTCAAATGAGAATTCTTGGAAATCACAGAAGTGCGCTGCTTGTGGAAAGAAAAAAGTTTTGTCGATTCCTGACGAGCAGCTTGGCAGAGATGTACAAAAACAATCTCCACCTGTCACCGTGAATAGAAAATCCGGCAATAAGGCTAACAGCTCTAGGAGTAGAGAAGCTGTGTTTACGATAGAAGAGAGAATGAAACGATTAAATATACGCAAGAAAAGTCCTGTGGACTCGAAACGGAAAGGTTTCTCAGGGACAGCAATGGACCAATCTGCTAAAGATATTTGCGCATTTTCTTATCAGAAATACTTTCAGAGCAATAACCGTTTCTCCATTAGCAAACTTGACTGGATGTTTTTGCAAGCTTGTTGGGCTGTTTCAGCGGGTGCGATCGAGCCCGTGGAAGCTTACATCATTGCAGGTGGTGACAAGAAAAGGATACTAACTTCTTGTGAAGCAAATATTCTAGATCTTCCAGGAGTTGTCGAACGGTTCAATCTTATGATGATCGCCTTACTGTTCAAGCGAACCCGTATTATTGAAATGCTGATGTCACAAGAAAAGCTTTCAAGCTTCAGCGCGCCAAGCAAGTATCCAGCATGTGTTGTCTCTGCAGACCTTACGAACAATATTTTGCGGACTATTGCCAATAATTTTGCTACAAAAAGTGCAGGATTCAGGTGTTATTTTCTTCAGGACAACGTCCAGACATATGGGTTACCAGCAGGTAATAGATATTGTTTTGCGTTATCTTGACATCATAGTGAAACAAGGATACCCTGTTCCTTTTTAAGTAGCACAGAATACTCCGGCCGTATTCATTAAAAAAAAACAATATAATTTTTCATTTTCCTGGCGTTTCTTTTTTGTGCGAATAGAGCTATAGGAATGCCTACAATTTTAATGACTCAAGCATAATCGACTAAAATTGTCTTCGACTAATAAAAGCAAGGATAACTGGTTACTGTGCAAGTAGCACAAAATGTTCGGACCATACTCCTAAAAGAACAACGAAAAAGTTCTTTCAAAATAGAGTTGTTTCTTTCGGCGTGGTGTGAGCTGAACGAAGAAGCTGAACAACAATTAGAGGTTAAGCGTATTTGACAAACATAATAATTTAAGCGAGTTGAAAAACAGTTTTTAAAGAAAAATGACCAGAAAAACGAAAATTTTTTTTCAAAAAGGCGCTTAAAAAACTAACATTACTCGATTAAAACTAAGTTTTTACGTGTTAAATTAAGCTAATGTAAGCTTTTAAGCCAACTGGTTGAACCACGACTGAAAGAGCTTTAATATGATTTATCACTCAACTCTCTGAGATAATTATTTGTGGTAGCTGATTTTGCGCGGGAAACAAATAGAAAGGAAAGAAAGAACTAAAACACCCGAATGCAAAGTTCCTCCCGATTTCTCAAATGGTCGGAACAAAAAGTGAAAAAATGTGCTTTAGAAAAGTTGTGATAAAAACTTTTTCTAATTTTTTTAAATTTGTTTTTGACTTTTGAACTTTGCGATATGATAGGGTGTTGCAACCGGGTACTAGACATTTTCGCATGAATAACTTTGTTAACATGAATCATGTCATCTGTACTCTTCTAATGGTACCTTGTTTCATAGTTAATTCAATTTTCTTAGCGTTCCCGGCCCTTTTAACCTGGAGGTAGCAAATATGCCTGCGGCGCAAAATTGTTGTCTGCTTATCTTTTGTTGCTTTTTCAACTCTGTTGGCTATGTTTTAAGTTCAGATCATTTAAAAATCTGTTGAAATGAGTTTATAGAAAATTTGTTTGGATCAAAGTGTAATATCTTGAAAATGGTTCAGGGGTGAGGATATTCCCCTGGTTCTAAGTTTCGAAGTTTCAGCCATTCAGAAAGGAGTATTTCTTTCGAGTAGCGTTAAGCAATTTAAACCTCGTCGAATAGTTGGGTGGAGGCTTTTTAATGGGTGTTTATAGGCAAAATTTGTGTATATATTCAACTTGCTCCGTTTTGGAATTATTCACATTTTGATTGTGTATGCGAGTTAAAACTTGGCCTCCATTTGAATTAAATTCGTGTAACTCTCGTCTGCATTGTTCAGAAATTCACAATCTGCCGAGAATAATTCAGAAGCAGCTGATGAATGAGATAGTTGACCAGTCTGTGAAGCGGGAACTGGAAATAGAGAATAGTGTCATAAATTGGAACAGAGAAGTGGCCGTGAAGCTGAAGAGCAAGTTGCGACCCCTTTGGAACCGAACTGCCGGTGACTGTCTTCTGGACGCAGTTCTCCAAGCCACGTGGGGTGTGTTCGACACTCAGAATCTGTTAAGGAAGGCTCTAGCGGATAATCTCAAAGCGACTCCAGTGCCTCCGTCTGTTATGACTGCAAGTCAATCCAACTCCTCATCAATGGCCCATCAAAACTCGCTTCCATCTGCTGGTGCTATGGCCACGAACATGACTCACAATATGGAGAACTTCCCTAGTCAATTTCAGAATAGCAGGTGAGTAAGGAAACAGGGAACTGTCTTTGCCAAAGTTACGACCCCTGAACTTAATCACGAGTTGACTTCCTATTTGCCATATCGTTTGACCGTTTTTTGGAAACTTTTTCCTTTGTCGAAACCTGCCCTGCCAAAGCTAATGTTAAAGTTTCAATAGGAAAATAGGTCAAAAGAATTTTTACTGCATAAGCAGTCTTAATTTCTTGTAGAAAACTAAATTTGGTTTAAGCAAAGTGCATTTTTTGAAAGTTATACTATTTTTCGGAGAGTTTTGTTGAAAATCTGAAATAAATGATTCAATGTAAAAAAAACAGGTGATGGGAAATTTCTCTGCTTAGCAGCTAAGCAAGCCCAACTGAGTGTTTTATAACAAACAATTTTTTTGTTGGCTTAGTTACCCATTCATAAGCTTTATTAAAATGCTTGTTCAGCATTGACTATTTTCGATCAATTTTCTAACAAATTGATAGAGTTATGAAATTTTTGATAGTTTTCGTCTTTTTTAAATTGCGAGAGCAATTTATTTGCTGTAAATAAATAAACTAGGTTTATTTGCCGTAAATCTGTGGTTACAAATCTAGAAGTTGAAGTTGCTTCTTTTGTAAACCATAACTTCCAGACGCTTTTCCACTTGGTCTAGAGGTAACAGTTGCCTTTTCACCATGGATTTTGAGTCCCAATCCGATCTAGAGTTTTTCTATTTAAATGAAATTGAAAGTTATTTCCGGGACAAATTGAATATTTTGCTCATATTATTTTGTCTGCTTGTATTTTTCGGCTTAGTTGCCATATCGCGGATTTTTTTTCGAGCCGTAGTTATTTTTTTCTACTTGCAAGTGTTGTTGATATACTCCTGTTGTATGTAAATCTTATAACCCTTACTTAGTTTTCATTCCTTATTTTCTTTTTTTTTCGCTAAGAAGATTTATTCAGTCTAAATGATTTCGGCTTATGTTTTATCGGCTCAGTCAATTTATTTTGTGTCTGTCGAAGGGCAAAAACCGATTGTTGTCTTTCGTGGCAGCTTAATTTTCAAAGCATAGAATTTTGTATGGCTCAATCTATTATTATAACTGACAGTCGTCCTGTTATTTTGTCAATACACAACTTGGGTTTTAAATAATTTTAATTTATTTTTTCGATTAAATTTGTTATTTCGGCTTATGTTTTTATCGGTTTGGTCAAGTAATTTTTTGTAATTTCCACTAAAATTGATAATTATTATTTTTTGTAATTCAGGACAATTGTGGTATATTTTGTTTTGATTTAGTTTATATTTAGGCTTTTTTCATTTCAGTTATTTCCGTCTCATATTTGTCAGCTTGCAATGCTGTGCTTGCATTGTATCGTAAGTGATGAGAAGCTCCGATACGCCTCTGTGTCTCAAACAATTTTCGCCTTAGTGGCTTTCGTCTGATTCTTCTGTAGGCTAGCTTGCCTATTATATTTGTGATGTATCCGAAATGGCGCGAAGCTCCGGTTTGCCTATGTTAGACATAGCAACCTTTTGAGAAAACGTTGTTCCAAATGATTCTAGGTCCCTGTATCAGAGATGGCGAGAGCAAGAGATGCGCAATGCAGCAGATGCTGGCTTCTCTCTAGACGCCAAACAGCTGGAAGAGGAGTGGCACACTCTGGTTCGGATAGCCGCACAGCCGGGACAACCTCTGGAGCAGCTGCACATATTCGTGCTCGCTCACATTCTGAGAAGACCCATCATCGTGTATGGAGTGAAGATGGTCAAGTCATTCCGAGGCGAGGAGATATCCCCCGCCAAGTGAGTTCGCTCCTTCCTAATAACATCCGCCAGTTGACTGAAAAGAAAAATGATCTGTACCATTTCAATGCTTTCGTTCTTTCAAAGAAGTTTTAGCATTTGTTTGTAGGAGCTGCAATGGTCTGAGCTAAATAGTATATAAGCGTTAATCATTGGTCGGTCTGTTGTGCTTGTAGACCGATTTCTTAGTATCTCCGAAGATATGAGTAGAAAATGATACTGAAGTACAATTGGAGTTAAATTTTATCAGGTTCGAGGGTGTATATTTGCCGCTACTGTGGGAGCCTTCGTTCTGCAATCGCAATCCCATCTGTCTCAGCTACACACCTGGACATTTCTCTGCCCTCGTCACCTTAGAAAGTTCAAATGATGCCCAGTGCCACGGTAATACTAAATTTAAAAACTAGAAACGGGTAGCGGTGGTAAAGTGGTTACGTCTCCGCCTCTCAATCGAAAGGTCGGATGTTCGAGGCCCACCATAATCCGTGCTGGTTGCTTGAGGGCGAAGCAACATTACCCAGCCTAGAAAAATAGCCAAAAAAATTGCATGTAGTTTTTAAAACGGGCACAACAGCGGCTCGCCGTGACGAGCTGTACAGCTCTTGTGTTGGTCCTTTCCCCCGTGGATAAATGGTCTTAATGAAACTTGAACGTCAAAAAAGCTGTTGCTGCTTTGTTCTTGACTCTTATGTTCTCATACATTCCCAAGTGCTACAAAATTTCAGAATACCTGAGAAAAAAAAGAAAAGTTTTGTCCGAGTATCAAAGTTGGTTGGAGTTAGTTTTTTTCACATAAAAATCTTCTATCACAAAAAAAAACGTTCGAAGAGGTCGAGTGTTATAATCAAAGCCTTCTTAGTCATCATTAGAGCTGTATAAAAGTTTTTAAGCTTTTCAATAATGTAAGAGAAGGTGCGATCAACTGTTTGCTTGTCGTGAGTTGTGGTCGTCTTATGGTCCAATTTTACAAGTAGTGATCAGCTAAGTCTCTGATTAGAGTAATGAACGTTTTGAGTACTCTAATATAGTTCTTGGGGATTTTTTTTCCAGAAAAAGTCTTAAAATTGCTTCAAGCAAACTCCAGTATCCAAATGCAAAAGTGTTAAGGTCACGAAAAACGAGATCGACTTCTAATTTCGGAAATGAAAATTAGTCATTAGATTACCCATTGAAATAAAAATTTTACCTATTGATCCAATTTTCTCAAGTTGGGTTAATTTGATCAAAAAAGCGTCAAACCAGGGGGTGGATTTAGGGGCGTCCGCCAAAAGAAACAAATATTGGGAATTTTGAGTAACAAAGAACGATGATTACCCACATTTTTCAGAGGTTTTTGCGTTTCAGTGTGTGGAAGCAGTGGCACGATCACCAATGACTCAAATTCCCCTCAACATCGCTGTGCGAATGGCACCCCTTCCCATCCCCACTCTCATCCGCACCCGGCACAGCCGCCGCAGAAGTTCGAGAGTCCGAACTACTACCTGCCCCTGGTGGACTCGGACTTCGCTCAGTTGCCAGTACACTTCCTCCTCAACTCAGAGGTAAGCATTATCTTCTATTCGCTCACGTTTTTCAATTGAATCAGTGAGCTAGTCATCATTTTAAGAGTCGATGAATATAGTGAAGACTCGTTTAAACGACTTGATGATTTTTTGTTCAGGTAGTCTTAGTTTATTCACGCTCAAATTTGATTTTTCGCGGTTTAACTTGTGATTTTTTTTAAGTTCAGTGCATTTCCTTTGTTAAAAGGAAGGCAAACTCCACTATCGAACAGCAAAAGTTAAAAGGTCACGAAAAACGTGATCAACTTCTAGTTTTGAAAATGCAAAAATTGAATTAATTTCTCAAATTGAGTTAATTTTATCTAAAAAGTGTCAATCATACATTCTCTTAAAATTCAAAGATTTTTAAAGTCATATATTTTTTGTTTTGAAATTGTGAGTAATGTTTTACTTGCGTTCCTTGACTCTTTTCCAACTGCCTGTTAGCTATGTTCATTAACTTCAATGAATGAAGTATCGCGGTTTGACTTATGATTCCTATTCATGTTCAATTCAAACTCATACTGGTTGTTGACTCAGCTTTCTAGACTTAGGTTGGTTTTATGAAAAAACTGTCTATCATAAGAGATAAATTTTTTCTTCAAAAGTTTGAAAGTTTTAAAAAAACTTAATCTATATTTTTTTCGGTTTTGTTCAGTCATTGACTCTGTTGTGCTACTTTCTGTTGCTTATGTTATCAAGATATTGAAAACATAAAAAGCGTTCAATTGCTTTCTAATTTTTTGCAATGATCTGCGATTGGTTCTGACGCGCAAAATTGAAAACTCAATCCAATTCATTTCTGAAAATGTGTTGTGTGTTTTTTTTGCAGGCTGGCCAGGAAGACATTCTGTTGAACCAGATGCTGGACTGCATAGTCACCCCTGGAGGGATTCTGGTGGCACGCTTTCTGGCTAACTGCTCAAACGGGGGAATTGGCGGCGGAGTAGGAGGAGGAGGAGGTGCAGCAACCAACCCTCCTACTCATACTTCTTGCACTCCCCCCCTCGCACACCCCGCCCCTCCTTCAACCACCCACCCCTTAGTACAAACGATGAATAATTTGTGGCTGGACAGGTACAGGGTGCTGGCGAGTACGATGAACCAGTCGGAAGACGAGAGTGGCGACGAACTCATCGACGACAACAGACGCAGCCGAGCACTTCTAACAACCACCATTCAGTGATTTCCTACTACCCGCGGTCAATTGACATCCCGTTTACGTCAGAAAGACTAGTCAAAACTAAATCACCCAAACTCAAAGCTCCTCAGAGCTTCAATATTAGTACTTTATAGTGTAAACTCCCGAAAAAACTTTGCCTAATTTTTGTTCAAAAGCATTCACTTCTCACTCACGAAATTTCAAATTTCACCAAAATTATGCGAAATAATGAGTTTTTCATTTTTCTTCGATATTCTGATATTTTTGTTTGATACAAAACTTCTCGTCAGATCAGAGTTGTCAATGCGATTTCATTCTGTGAATTTTTTAGTTGTATAAAGGAAATGGTTAGAAGTGGTGCCCGTAGATACTAGTCTCTAAATTTATGTCATTTTGAGTAAATATTTATTCAGGATACTAGTAGTCAAAGTTCACATAATAACCGTAACTTATTCACATCATCAACAGTGAACAAAGTCATGTACATGAACAATGCTTACTTAATTTAGCCCCAAGGTCAGGATTCTTTTAAAGAGTAATACATCCGCCTATTTTTGCCGAGTTGTGATATTATAGGTATTTTGACGAAATGACAAAACTATGACCATATTTACGTAGAAAGGTTATAAGTGCATTTGATACAAATGATTATCAATGTGTATTACGTGTACTGACTGAGAGTTAAGTTAATAGTTGTGATATGTGAACAGAATTTACGTGACAAAATTAAAATTTGACTAATGTTCAAATATTCTGTTACCTAGATGTTCATGCGTTCACTGTTGATTTTGCATTTCTTCAACATTAATATGCAGATTGTTTTTCATGGCTTTTTGATGTTCTACCGTGGCGATGATAAATTGGATGAAGTTTATACGATGTATCCCGGATTAATTGCGCCATCATGATTTTATTAGGCACTGCATTGCATATCTCATCACTATATCTATATACTCCTCGGAAAAGCCCCGAGGTTTAGCAAAATACTCTCCTCCTTGACAATACTTATTGATAAATTAGCAGTTAGTAGACAGATGTTTCTAGACTAGATATACTTTAACTATAGAATATAATACACTACTCTAATTACATTTCCAAATACTAAGCTTTGTGCAATAAGAAATAAATGCGTTTCATTTGTTCACTGTTCTATTTTACTCGAAACTGCAGATGAAAATAACTCTTCTTTGATTAGTTTTTCTGCTACGTCAAGTAATGTCATGTAGTTTGGAACATAGAAAAGATATTTGAAATGAAATTACTGCGAGTTACGGTACGAATCAGGTTTTAGAGGGCAGTTATTAAAGTTCAATGAACGTGGTGAAGACACTTGTACATCTCATTTTCAGTTTTTTTTTCGTGAAAAGTGATTTTGCCTGTAAGTACTTTTTATAGGATTAAAAAAATTACCTGTTGATCCAGTTCACACGCTTGCGATTAGTTATTTTTTTGCGTAAAAAACTAAGTCTAACAGAAACTGTATTTCAAATTAGTGTTTTCCTCAATCAATACATATTTTGAACATAGCTGCATTTTAAATACCCGTTCTAAACGAAAATTTTTAAATGCTGATTTTAATTATGCCCAATCAGGTTAAGTATAATTCTGTTTTTTTTTTTTCATTTTTGTTCCGACCACTTGCAGACTGGGAAAGAACTATGGCATAAGGTCCACAGCATGGCTAATGCTGACTATGTCAAATAAATATGGTAGGTGGTCAAATGTGGTATCATATTAAAGAACTCTTAGCCATGATTCGGATTACTAAGAACAAGAATTAATTGTCGAGAAAAACAGGTCTGAACATTTTTGATTTTCAGACTTGCTTGCACGAATTCGATGTGAGGATGACCACTACTATTTCAATACTTAAACTTAAACGTCACTTAAGCGATGTTTTCGTGCAATTTACACAGCGAACGGTTATTGTTGTTGTTCCGACCATCGAAATTGTGGAGGACCTTTGTATTCGGGTGTGTTTTAGTTTTTTTCTCGCAAGATCAGGTAAAAGCAATTTCCAGAATTGGTTATGATATATATATTAAAGCCCTTTCAGTCGTGATTTGAACAACTTTTTTTTTAATACTATAGTAGATATTAGATGCAAAGTTTTTCTGTATTTTTTAACGGACAAGAAATAATGAGGCTACACATAGAAAATTAACTGAAAAATTCGAATTGGCCTTAAAACAAAACTTACAGAGTGGTAAGTTTTTTAATACTTGCGCTTTTTAATACTTGCGAAAGCAAGTGTCCTCTTATCGAGAAGTATTCTTTTTCGGGTAACAGGTTTTCTTACAAATCAGTATCAAATTGAGCTTGCTTTTTAAAACATTTTAACTTTCAGTGTACTTCCTTATTGTTCTAATGGTAAAACGGCTAGATCGAGATCCAGCCGGAAATTTGTGTTTTTATATGCATGAAAATTGATTTGTCAAACTTTCGTTTGGCTGCTCATGTTTTGTCACCTTAGCTGCCAGATCGGTATTTTTTCTAGTCCAAGCAACTTTCATTGCATTTGGAAGTTTGTTTAATTTTTCCTACAAATTGTACATTCACTAACACTAAAAAAATTCAACCTTCTTATGGTGCCAGGCCGCTTAGATTTTGAAGTTTAATCCCTCTGTGGTCACTTTGTGTTCCCTTCACATCCTCTTTATTTAAATCCAACTGTTTTAGAAGCCAAGAAAAGTTCATAATTTTTTCAAAGAATAACTTGAGTTTTGATTTTTTGTTTCACTTTTGACAACTGTCTGTTTGATAATTGGCAACTATCTGTTGAATACTCTGATATGGAAATAATTATGAAAGTTAACTTAGTGCTGATTTAAATTATCCGGACAAAACAAACAAAATTTGAAATTTCAAACACTTTTTTCCCAAAGTTGGTTAAAATAAGACAAAAAGTGAGAAGAACAAAAATTGCATAGATTTTCACCAGAATTAATATGGTGCAATTTTTTCACCAAAATTTTCAATCAAGATTTTATCCCAAAATGGGTCATTTTGGCTTTTTTTAAATAATCAAGAATTACGCTAAAACTACTTTGTTAATAGATGAAAATTATATCACCAGAAGCCTCTAACACATCCCAACAAAATTCTAGACGGATTGAATCTCCAAAAGCTTGCTCAAACTGTTTAAAAATTGTTTTTAAGCTAAGGTTCTGTAAAAGAGAAAATATTTTTGCTTGTGTCATGAAATGAGATTTTTACTATATAAACCCATAACCTTAGCTTAAAAACAAATTTTAATTAACTTGCGCAAACTTTTAGAGATACAACCCGTCTAGAACTTTGTTGGGATGTGTAAGAGGCTCCTTGTGATATAATTGTTTCATCTATTAACTAGGTAGTTTCTGCGTAATTCTTGATTATAAAAAAGCCGAAAAGACCCATTTTTGGGGTAAAATTTTGGTTGAGAATTTGGTGAAAAAATTGCTCCATATTAATTCTGGTGAAATTGTAAGCAACTTTTGTTCTCTTCACTTTTTGTTTAATCTTAACCAAATTTAGCAAAAACGGGTTTGAAGGTTCAAATGATGTTCGTTTTGTCCGGTTAATTTAAATCAGCACTGTAATAATTTTCTTCAACTGATCTTTTTGACTCCAAAATAAAACTTTTCAAAGAAAAACTGAACTATTGTACTATTTCCAATACATATTCTTCTGAGACGTGGCAAATGCGAATAATTGCTGTCCTCCGTTGGTGAGACCAATCTAGTCTTCATATCGCTCGTCTTCAAACTCACGTGGCATCATTTTCAGCACTTTTCCCGTTATATTAAAAAACGGCATCTGATAATAGCCTCTCGGTTTATAATGCGGAATAGAACGAGTTCTCTGCAGTGGAATCGAACTAGACGGTTTGTGAATCGAATGCGATACCGATGCTGCCACGCCACCAGCAGCGGTTCGATTCTCAGCCTCCTCCAACCCCCCGCTGTTCTTGTTCGCGTCTGATTGGCTGTTGTTGATGTTACTCACAGCTGCTATTTCGTCTTGTCGGAAGTATATTTGTCCGTTTATGATTGTGGCGCCTCCGTTTTTGTTTCGTCTCAGTCGGTCGTAGAATGCACTCATGTCATTGGCCAGTAGATTATACATTTCGATGTCTTTCCGGTGCAACTTGACTGTTCTGCAGTTGTGCTCTTCTCTGTAGTGTTTGATATAGTTTGAGTTGTCTCGCAAGTGTGCAAACTTGTAAGGCTTGGGAGTTTCGCGTCTGTTTTTCATCAGAAAAGCAGTGCCTGTCAAAAAGAAAAAGACAAATTTATTTTTCATCTCTAATTTATTACCGCAGCCATCATTCTGCTCGGAAAAAAAATAGAACCAACGTCTGAGTTATTCAATTTTCACCAAAGTATATGCTATAAACTCCTTTGAGATCTATGCAATTTCTTTCGCTTATTTTTTCTAGGCTCCGGGGATCGTCGCTTATTCACTTTCAAAGAGCCCCCCCCCCCCACCCCACGGATTTGTTCAAAGAGAAGATCTCACATAATCATCCTAAGGGCTCAGGTAGTAACCCATTATAGCCTCGCCACATTCATACTTTCAAAATGTATTTTCCCTCTATTTGCACAAAAGCCCAAACAAAAGTCCAAAAACGAATTTCGTCATAAATTTTTTTAAATAAATACTCTATAATGTTTAATAACCGTGACTTTCTCCCGAGTTTGTCGCTGACATGGGTTGTGCGTGACCAAACTGCACGTGACTGGCGGCACTTTCGCTCACGTGCTGGTTGAGCAGCTGCTGTTTTCTCAGAAAGAAGGCGGCGGGTGGGAGCCACTGGCAGAATCCCTCCTCGAACTTGAGACTCTGCATCAGCTGCAGTTCGTCCGCCTCATCCGAACTAGAATTGAGCTCGGAACATACGACGGCTACTCGTTTTTCACAATCAGCAGTTCGTGGCATTTCCCCTCAATCCAAAACTTAATTATGTTATCGTAATTATGTTAACGTAATTATGTTATCGAACTATAATATTGATTTCGGTAACACTATTCCCCAGTCAAAAAGAATTGTTGCGTTATTATCTTGCGTTTTATGGGAAAATTTTAAGGGATTAAGTTGAAAAATTGGGTACATAAGATGTCACAGGCAAATTATTTAAATAAAAGGAATGCTTGAAATGCAGTTTAGCGTTTTGAATGTGCTGGATTGATTATTTTTGTATTACGGAAAACTCTTTTGTTCTGGTTTGGATTTAGCAGGTGGTTATGTTATAACGCGTGTCATAAAGTATAATGTTGATACAAATAAATCTCGATTACCAATTCACTAATGAAGATTTTTTTTTATAAGAAAGGGATGCAAATTTTTTACATTACTTTCAAAATATGTTCAAAATTTTCAAAACATTTTCAAAATACATTCTTAACCCAAAGCAAAAGTATTTTAAATGGTTGGTTCATAGTTTTTATAAACTATTGTCAGTTTTTTGATTTTCCAGCATCATATTTTGGGAGTACACTTCGAACATCAGCTGCTTCTGTAGCTTTCTGCTTTGACTGCAGATATCAGAAACTGAAATAGAAATGAGACTTGGTTGAATCCAGCTTCGCATAAAATCTTATTTGCCTATTATAGAAGCTAATGGTTAATGAAGAAGAAGACTTATTGGTTCCACAAATCGATGCAAGTCAAAAAGTTTGGGGTATTTTTGGTTATACCAACCCCTAAATGATGAAAAATGAAAAATCTTGTAACAAAATTGGATCGATATCACTAGGAAATGCAAGATATTAAAATAAGACTGGCCAAAACGAAGCATTTCTATTTGATGCAGCCTCTAACTAGCTTTCTTCCCAATTTTTTCTGCCAATAGAAGCTATTTAAATTTCTTAAAAAGGATGCCAAAATGCAGTTTTTTATTATTTATTTTGCATTTTTTCAGCGTGATTTGGAGCTCGGGATATAAGTTCCTGCTTTTCTGAGTAAAATCAGCCCAATTTTGTAATAAAAGTTTTCATTTACATTTTTCATCATTTAAGGGGGGGCATAACCAAAATGACCCAAAGTTTGTAAAGTTTGTATCAATTTGTGACAAACTTTACCTCTGATTGGCGTTGAAATTTATTAATCCTCAAACAAAACGTGCAACGTGCAAAAAAGCAGAAAACTCACTTTGGTTGTTATTGCCATTCAAGCACTCTTCAAACTGCTGGTATGAGAAGGGCATCTGATCAAATCTGCGCTGGATTTCAGAATCAGCCAAATCTAAGCGACAATTTTTTATCAGATAACAACGACGATAACCACGATCATTTTTTTTGTAATATGGGACATGGTCTCGATTATAATCAGGGGCGGATTTAGGGGGATTCGGATGCCCCTCCCCCCTAGGGATTCGACCTTCTAACTAACCAAAGGGTGCCCCTTTGGTATTAGTTTATGAAATGCATTTTAGGCCAACCAATTCTTAAAATTTTCAAAAAAGCGCCAATAATTACTAATTTTGATGGGGAGAGCAGAGCACCAAAAAAACGTTGCTTGACCTGTTTTTTCAAAAAAATTTGTCGACCTAAGATTTGGTTGACTAAAACAAGTCGACAAAGTTTTCAAAAAATGTTTGAAAAACCGCTCCCACCCCTAGTGAAAATCCTAGATCCGCCCCTGCAAGTTCATGAGTTGAGCTCATCTAAAGTTTTGGTTGATTTAATTTTGCATTAAAGTGAAACTAAACTACTTTCATTTTTATTTCTAAAGCAAGAAAGTGGGCTCTTCAAACGCTTCCGAAAAAAAGAATCCGCTCAAAAAAATTGATCTGTTACCTCTGTCGTTAGTTCGAGGGTCCTGCTGCGAGCAAGAAGTAATCATTGCAATTAAAAGCAACAAATTAAGTTTTTTGTCCACTTTCATTTCATCATGTCCGAGCTGCAGCTTTTAATTGGTCAATGCGATCTTCCCTCGTCTGCTCGTGTAATAATTGAATTGTAGTAAAAGTTCACAAACGCTAAAATAAAAGGTTTGAAAAACTGGGTAACCGAAGGCAAGATGAATTAATGAATTAAATTAGCATACATTACTTAGTACCTTTAACGGCTAATCATGTTTTACCAAAAAGTGTAAAGTGTGCGCTTTTCTGGGTGTCAGATCGCACAAGGGCAGATCCAGGGGCGGATCTACGATTTTCTCAAGGGGGCGGATTTTCAAAAAGTTATCGAAAATTTTGTCGACCTTTTTTTTAGGTCGACCAAAGTGAAATTCCGAGCTCTCCCAAAGCATTAAAAAGACCTCCCTGTTTTGGTCAAATTTTCAGGGCCGCAGGCAACATTTTGAAAAACAGGCCCAAAAAGGCGTTTTTAGGCACTTTTTGGAAAATGTTGACCAAAAAATCGCGGTTTTTTTTGGCGCGAGCTCCCCCCTCAAAATTAGTATATAATACCAACGCCCACCCCCCTAAATCCGCCCCTGGGTGGATCTATATTTTTAACCAGGTGAAGAGCTTTGAGTTTCAAGAGAAAATCGGAAACTTCGTCAATCTTTATGACCATTTTAGGTCATAGATTAGCTCTAAATAGGGGCCCGCTGATTGGTCAAGGTGGAATTCCGGAAGATTTGGTTTTTGAGCCTGCAGGATTTTTTTGAAATGTCATTTTTTGGGTATTTTGCAAGGTCTTCGTGCGCAATAAGTGTTGAAAATTGAAGCAAAAATTATAAGATGATACAATTTCAATTAGTGTTCACACATTTCGCCAAGGTGCTGGACATCAAGCTGACGGGACTTCAAGCCGAATCGTAAAATTAGGGACTTCAAGCCGAATAGTTGCTTATAAAGTCGTGAAATATGATTAATTTGAAAACTTTTTTGAAGAATTTCTGAATTTCATGATCTTTCTTTACTAGTTATTGGCAGTTTCAAAAAATTTAAGCCTCCAAATGATGTTTCGGAAAGTTGAAAAGTAAAATATGGTTGAATGCATTTTTCATGTTGATAATTTTTGCATTTCAAAAACCGGCTGATGCTATTAACGGATACCAATCAGAAGTGGCGCATTGTCATGAATAACGCTTATTATGGACTAAACATGCCTAAATTTTTGAGAAGCAACGTTTTACAGATAAAAAAATAGTGATTTGAGGTGCTTAAAAGTTTAAATTTTGGCCTGAAGTCCCTTCGGCTTGAAGTCCCGTCGGCTTGTCGTCCTAGAACCATTTCGCCCCTCACACGTTTCGCCCCTCATAAATTATTGGCACATTTCGCCCCTAAAATGTACATTAAGAAAGCGGCGTTAATTAACTGTGTAATAAGTAAGGGCGAAACGTGCGAGAAAGAAATGTGTGAAACAATCAAAGGGGAAATGTGTGAGGGGCGAAATGTGCCACTAGATTTAAGAAGGGCGAAATGTGTGTGGGGATTTCAATTGCCACTAGCAAAAAAAAATATTATCTAAAAAGTTATCGTCGCCTTTTGCGTCGAAAATTGAATAAAAAACTACGCAATATTTTGATTGACGGATTAACTCGCCTCTTGCGTTACGCGTTAAAAGAAAATTGAAAAACTTGCGCGCTTGAATTACCCTTCATTGGGTAAATTTACAATTTTAAGGAAAATTTTTTTTTTAGTGACAAGCCATATCACAAATGAAGCATCAAGTTAAATTTTTTTTAGCTCAGGCTATCATTATCTTAGTTAATGCAAAATTCGAAAACTTTTTGAAAGAGCACATCGAACACAATTATTCTGTCTTTTTTTCGGAACAAAAAGTATAAAAATTTGGAAGCATTTTAACAAAAAACTAGAAAAATTCTCACCTTTAAATGAATTTGTTCAATGGAGGGTTTTCTTTTTATATCAGCCAACCTCGTTATTTACAGAGCTCGTTTACCGTTGGTTAAGCGCGTAAACTCGTTTTGACTTATTCGAATTATGGGAGTTGAGAAAATTCTATCCGTATAAGAGACATAAAAGGGATATTAAAAATTAGGAATCGGGGTAGACCAGCCAGAAACAAATAAACAAACAGGGGTGACACAGTCTGATGTTACTATCAAGGGAGCTGATGATGATGAAAGATAGCGATGTATGAAAACAAATTTTGGGAATATTTGGAAAATAATCTAATCGCTTTTTGTTTATTTTTTTTGTGTACTTTCCTCTATAGTGTCTGTGGCGGGATAAATCAATAATACTTGCAGTATGACTGTAGTTGTGTCGATTTATCTTTCATTTTTGGTTCTCAATCTGGCTTATTTCTCCCAGCAGCCTGTATAGAATAGTACTGCACCCCTGACATTTGTTCAACCATGTGACATTAGTCCGATGTGTTTGTGTGCATGGTATGTTGGTGACATTGCATCTATTAAGGCTACATAAAACTGTTTTCTTTCTTCAAGAATACCTTATGCATTATTTATGCACTTCATTTTACTCCCCAATGCTGTCATCAATCATTAGAGAAATTTCTCTTTTTTATTAATGTCTTCGTGCGCGACGAGAAAACAATTGAGTAGAAACGTTAAGTAAATCAGTTTTTCTTCTAAAATTTTTTTTCATGTGTAAACTCCCAAGAGTGTCGTTTCTAATCTGAATAAAACAAATTGATGCTCGGAGAAAAAATTAGAGGGAAAATTTTGACCTCGAAGGAAATTAAATTATAGCATTTAAAATTATCAAAGTTAAAAGACAAGTTCGAAGGAAAAAATTACAGTTATCATCATCATCATCATCACATATGTTATTTCGACACCAATTTCTTGAATTCAAAGGTGTTTGAGTTTAATTAAAAACCAGTTTTGTCGTAAGAATAATCAGTCGCTCCGCTAAAGATGAGTTCGTTTCTGTCGATAGCCGTACCCACTCTAAAATGAGCTGGGATTTGAACAGAAAATGTTCTTTGAAGATGGTTAAAAATCGGACCCGCTCTAAAATGATAAGTTAGGTTTGATTTCGATTTTTTTAAATACCAATTGTAAAAGGGAGGTATTTGTTGCCTGGTACATTATTACGATAATGCTAAGCCGTTGAATAAACCTTATTTAAAGATCGATTTTTGTCACGGATTGTAGGGGATAAGTTTTTAGATCCGGAGAATATTTGCCAGCAGCCAGCAGCTTGAGAACAGTGTGCTGTCCGAGACTTCTAATATCAAATACCTTGGAAAACAGGTCGAAAATCGGGTCAATTTTGAAAGGCTTTTGGATTATGTTTGCTTTATAATAATTAAATGCAGTGTTTTGCTGTTTAACAAAAGACTCTGTGTCTTAAAGGCTGTATTCGTCAAAAATTTTAATTGATGCGCAAAACCAAAAGCTTCGGTTTGACTATTTGCTCGGCGCTCGAACTCAAAATGCTATTTGAAAAAAAATTGTGATGCATTCAGGCAGGGGCGGATGCAATTTTTGAAAGAAAAAATAGGTCAAAAAAGCCGTTTTTTGGCACTTTTTGAAAAATTTTGACAAAGTTAGTATATATTGGCGCCAAAGGCGCCTTTAGAAAAATTTTAGGGTCGGTCGGCAAAAATGGATTTCCTAAAAAGTACCAAAGGGTCGGCAGGGGGTCGAATCCCTGAGAAAAGGCGTCCGCCCCACCACCGCCCCCCCCCCCCTAAATCCGCCCCTGCATACAGGTATTTGAAAAACTTGTTTCTAAACTTACGAATTTAATCACAATTCTAACATCATGCATGCATTGGAAATGGAATTTTTTTTGAGGTACTCATTAGAAAAATTTATCCAAAGTATTAAAGCAACTTCGCGGATAGACTCTCTTTGAAATATAAAAATTGAATATTTGAAAGCCGGCTTCGATAAGAATCTGCAGGCAAATTTGTGCCTTACAGGAAAACAATACCGCAAGTCTTGCTGCCGTTGCGGCAAAATGGTTCCAAAGAAATCTAGAATTTCATGAAGTTGAACTATCTAATACCAGATTTATTAAACCAAATAACTGAGAATTGATTAATTATGTATCTGAATAATAAATAACCTTTTTTTCTCAACAATTCGAGTGATGTTTTGGTTTTAGTTTATGTTTCGCTCATAATATGTAGGATATAGCTACTTTTTCCTAAAAAAGGATTATTTTTTTTTCAAGGCTAAAATTTTCTTACTTTTGTTTTTTGTTCAACCTTTGATGACATCGCAGTCTGTCACACTTTTTGCTCACTAGTTTTTTCTGACCGCTATAAACCATCAATGTTTTTTAAAATTTTTCCTTTTCAGATGTTTTGCACATTTTATGCATCATCAGGATTTAATTTTCCAGAATTTTGAAACCATGTGTTTTTTTTTCATTCCGCAGAATCGGTTACAGCAACCTATCATCGGATTTGCTCTAGTGATTTTTCATATTAAAACCTTTTTAGTCGTGATTGGTAAAATACTTTCTCAGTGTCGAGAAAAAAAAATTGTTTGCAGCTTATAGTATTTAGTATAATTTCAGCTTATAGTATTTAGTATAAGAGTTTTAAAAAAAAGGTTGCAATACTTATATTAGAATCATCATAAGCCCATAATACGAGTCTTAAAATCTAGTTTAGCCGAGAAATTTGGTTATAATTTAAAAAAAAAGAAGTTTTCTAATATTAAGCGCTGTTTTGGGAACAAAATTGAAGAAATCAAAACAAAGTTGACAAAAATGGGCCTATCTTATTTGTTCTTTGAATAAATATGCTGTCAAACTTACCTAAAATATTATTACAGCAAAATTCTAGACCTTCGTTTAGATTCCATCATCACACCACCAACAAAAAAAGACGCAATCTACCAATGACGCAATTTAAACATGATTTTCTTACAATGATCGGGACATTCCGTGCTACTTGCACTTCAACTTGTTATCAGTATTGCTTTTTGTTTTATGCTCGCTTATCTTCCATCACAATAAATTTAACTTATTTCAACTGATCAGACTTGAGTTAAGATTTTTAGGGGAAAGCTTAGGTTGTTGTACCGTTATCGGGAAAACTCATTTGCGCCCCGATAATAATACTCTGCTTTTTTAATCTCAAAAGTTTTCCATGATAATTTTTTCACTCTGGATGGTTTCTTGTAATTTTATTTTTCTCTGCTGAGAAGGTATTACTAGAAAAACAATTTCCAAACTAATTTATCCAAAGTATTTAGTATGAAAGCAAATTTCAAAATTAACAAAAAAATTGTAACTTGCACAGCAACAGGCTAACACTGTTCCATTTTGTCTGTAATTTGCTGGTCTACCATCACTCTGAATATAACCTATTTCAACTGAATAGATGGATTTGCGATTTTAATAGCAATGCTGAGGCTGCCGTACCGCCTTCCGAAAACCACAACCGCGCCGTTATTGATACCGTTGTATTTTTTAACCCAACTTTTTCGCAAAATTATTTCTTATGTCTTTGGTCATTCTTTCAGTTTGTTCTCTAATTTATTTTTTTTTGCTTCAAATAAACTATTGTTGACAAAACTGTCAAACTAATTGGTTTTTCTAATTTTTTTTTACTGTTTATGCATTTTAGTTTTTTGTTGGTAAGCTCCAGTTCTGTGGACTGCTATTTTAATTTTTACTCCTCTAATTTCAGTCATTGTTGCGGCAAAACTGAGCATATCGGCCAAATATAATAAAATGAAATTGAAAATTCTTGTTTATTTTGATATACTGTCACAAAAATAGCTGCCCATACAATTTTTTGGCTTAAGCTATGGAGAAGAATAAACTACGGGCGAAGATTAAAAAATACATACGCTTCAGTTGCTAAAGGCAATTTTTTCGAAACATGCAAGTGTATGTTTGAAATTAATGAAATCTGATTTATTCAGATGCGTCTACCTTTCTCCATATATTCAGGTTATACAATATGTTTCATGTTTAAGCTTTCAAAAATTACGAAGCTTAGCAGATTAAAGCAGTGTTGCTTTTTGCTCTTCCTAATAAGATTTGAGCGCAAATCACGGCAGCGCATGACAGGGCAGTCGAAAGCAAATCGAGAAGCGGCAAGGTGGGGCAGGGCGCGAAACGGCTGGATAGCGCAGCGCAAGGCAGGTAGGCATAGAAGCGGCAGAATGAGGCAGCGCAAGGAAGGGCGAGAATAAGAAAGGCCCAGGCAGCGCAGAGCAAGTTAGGGCGAATATAGGTGAGTGCAAGGTTAGGGCCTCGTTACTTGAGTGCAAGGCAGGGCGAAGATGAGTGAGAAAGGGCAACGCAAGGTAGGGAGTGCCAGGCATGGTACGACGCGAAGGGCAAGGCAGCGCAAGGCTAAACAGGAGAGCAAAAGGCAAGGTGGGGCAGCGCGGGCAGGTCGACGAGCGGCAATGCAGGATAGGGCAGAGCAAGTCCGGGCAGGGCAACGTAAAGCCAGGCAGGGCAAGGCGAGAAGTTACATGGCAAGACAGGGCGAGAAGGTGGAAGGCATAGGTTGGGCGAAGAGAGCAATGCAGGGCAGCGCACGACAGCGCCAATAAGGACAAGGTCCAGGGCAAAGCCAGACAAGGTAGGGTGAAAAGGGGGCAAAGCCAAGATAGGGCAGCGCAATGCAGGTCATCGCGAATAGGGACAAGGCATGGTAGGGCAGCGCAAGGCAAGACAGCTGAAAGCAAGACAGCACAAAGAGGGTCGGATTAGCGGATGGCCAGGCAAAGTATAGTTAATCAAGGTTGGGCAACGAGGAAGACAGCAAGGCAGGACAAGGCGATGAGGTGAAAACCAAAATAGGGCAGGAGAAAGCAGGTCACTACGGGAAGGGGCAAGGCAGGGTACATCAGCTCAACACAAGGTCGTGCAGCGCAAAGCCAGACCAGTTAGGGCGTAAAAGGGCCAGGCCAAAAAAGGCAGCGGATTGAAGGACACTGCGAGGAGCCGTAAGGCACAGTAGAGCAGTGCAAAACAGGAGAACGCAAGGCAAGACAGCAAGGAGAACGGTAACGCAGCACAGTGCAAAGTTGTGTTCTATCCAGCCATTCAATCTTACTGCCGGCTAACCGTCCAATCAATCATTCATTCCTCCAATAATCTTCCCAACATTCCATGAAACCAGCTATCCATCAAACCAGTCATTCATCTATCTAAGCATTCATTCAGCCAGCCGGCTGTAGAAGCTACCATTCACTAGTTTGCCCGTCCATCCGTCAAGCCTTCTGTTTGTCTGGCCTTCCCTTAATCATTCAATCACCTAGCCAGCAAGATTTAAAACCAACCATCAAACCATCTATTTATTTGTTGTTCCAGCTGTCCGTCCTGCCATTTCTCCATTCAATTATCCATAAATCTATCTAGCTATCAATCCGCAGCCAACCACCCAATTTTCTATCTGTAAAATAACCTTTCATCCATTCTTCCAGCCTTAATCATCCTTCCAGCGATCCAACAACCTAGCAATAAATCATTCGTTC